GGGAGCCGCGGGACGTGCAGGCCTGCGGCAGCGGGTTTTAATCTGCCTCTGGCGGCGCTTTCCGCGCTTGCGCCTTCGGTGAGACCTTCCCGCGTTGCGCGGCTGCGGAAGGATGCGCTTTTAGAGCGTAAGTGGGGAGAACGCTGGCAAAGCAGCGTTATCCCGGGGATCTCCGAGGCGAAACGACGCGTAACTGCAGCAGTGTGGGCTCTGTCCAAGTCCGACCTTCCTTGAGAAAAAAGGAAGAGAAAAATTAGCCAAGTGTTGGGTAACTCTTGTATTCCCTTTCCCTTCAGAACGTGCTGGAATTTTCCTTTTCTATGTGAAACACAGACATGACAGATCAGGAGTACGTGCTTTGCACGTGGAAGAAGCGTTTGTGGCCAGCAAAGGTAAAGCTGACGTGTGGACGAGGAAAGGTTGGTGGGTGTAACTTCGGCATGGACGAAACGGAGTAGCCACTGGGTCAGAGCTCCACGTAAACACATAAATACTTTGAAAAAGAGCTGATCTGGGAAGATTTTAATCCTGCAATGTAATGCTGTGGAACGTCAGTCAGTTCTGTGCTGTTCATGTTGAACGTGTTTTGATGTCAGATCTGTCCTAGCGTCTAACAGACTCGCTCAGGGATTTTAAATGTGTGGGGTTTTTTCTGGACCGCAGGTTTTGTGCAGAACTGGAGCTGCTGGGAAAACATCTGCTGCTAATACAAAGGAGGCTTCTTTTGAACTTGAAATACTTGGCTTGAAAGAACAGTTAAGTATCCGTGTTACTGTCACGTGTTAATCCCTTTACCCGAAGATATTTGGGAAATGAGGTCGCTGGTTCGCGGCGGGGCGAGATGGCCGACCCAAACTGCCCCAGACCCGTGGTCTTTCAGAGCTGCCGTGCAGTCGTCTGGCACAGCGTTTGTAAACAGCAGGCGGGTCGCTCAGGCGTTTTGTGTGGGTTTTGTTCCTCAACTTCTGCTAACAAGCCCTGGTTTGGGGGGAAAAATACTGCGGTGTCACGCTGTTGGTGATGTTTGATACTGTGCTGTTTCCAGTCAGCTCTGTGTTTAATGGTTCTGTGGTTTCAGGGTTAGTGTGGCCTGTGCAGACACTGTGCCGCTGGAGGAGGAACGCATAGAAGACATCGCCTCGAACTTGGGTGAGGACATGTCTAATCACTTGCTGCCTTGTGGATATTCTGAGGGCAAAATAGGCACGAAATAACTCAACCTGGAGGGTGGGTTTATACATTTCACTCATGTATTTAGTGAGGATTGAATAGGGCTGGGGTTTTTTTGCATTCTTCCCCTCATTCCATTCCATCTGTAAAGCTTGAAAATACTGAATGTTATCACAGCTACTCTGCTCTTCCCTCGTGTGGTGTGTTGGAAGGGATGGAGAGGAAACTCGTGTGTGCTCGCATCAAAATAAGGTGTTGGAAGTTGCACTTTGTGGATCTATACACTTTGCCTTAAGAATAGCAGATGATTTGAGTGTTAAGTTGCATCTTAAACAGAAGATATGAAACAAATGAAATCTCTTATTTCTTATATTCAGAGAAAGCTTATTGCCTTTATTGCATGTTCTTCTTCACCAGATGAAAGGAATAATCCAAGTGATGCTGTGGAAGAACTGAAATATCGCCATTCCCTGAAAATTGCCCTGGATATTTTGAATGCCATTGGCTCTGCTGGACGACCACCAGCTTTGGAAGAAGGACCAAATGCTCAGTTATCCCAGGAGATCAACGCGGGATCTCTCTCCTCAACCCCCTTACGTAGATGTCAATCTCTCCTTCACTCTGAAGAAAAATTGGAGCCTGACACTTCCAAGAAGAAACGAAAACAAAAAACCAACCCCAGCCTGAAGACTGATACAAACCAACAAAACCAGAAAGGTTCTTTTGTTTTGGAGGAGAGTGCTAAAGCACGTGAAAGTGGGACAAACCCCTCCAAATGCAGTGCTGGGGACTTGCACGATACATCAGACTCAGATAGTCAAAATTGCAAAGCAGCAGAATCAAAATCACTACAAAGACAGGAAAAAGTCAATCCCAGGTCGTTGACAAAGTCCAAAACAGGAAACAAAATCCCCCTGAAGCCCAAGGAGGACAAAAGCAGGCAAGGAAGAAGACCAGGAGGTGCAGGATCACCTGTGTCATGCAGGAATGATTTGCCCAAGGATGAAGCTGGGGAAGGGCCTGCTCTGCCTGTCCCCTGCACGTCCGACGCAGCGGCGCCAGCCAGAAGGACGAGCACCAGAAACCAGCCCAGAAGGACCTTACTGGGTTCCTCTTGTAGAAGTGCCTCGGACGACTTGGAGAAACGCATCAGCAGCGAAAGCGAAAGTCTAGCAAAGCAGTTGGCTGGACGAAAAAAGCCAGTGAATTTGAGAAGGACGAACAGAGACCAGGAGATGGGCGCAGCCGCGTCCTCCTGCGGGAAAGGGAAGTGCAGGAATTGCCCTGAATCCTCATCTGGGCCTTCCAGCCATGGGCCGCTCTCGGATGGCTTCGCCTCCGGGTGTAAAGAGGAGGAAAACAAGAATAATTCGCCTGTTGTTATGAGTCGAGTCAAGCAGTTCGAGCTGCCTGACTTTGAGGAAGATGAAGGTGGGCACAGCGCTTGGGGAGGGGAAAACCTCATCCCGTCTGGGTGTCGAGCGCTGATACTCATCGTGAAGTGTCGCGTTGCTTTTGGGAATGTGGTTCTCAAATTGCTGGTTTTAGTTCTGCTGAAGGTTTGGAGAAGCAAAAAAACGCAGTGGCTTCGGCACCGGCTGAAAGGCGGCGTCACGTTTGGGTTGTCTGGAGTCGTTTTTAGGGCTTTGCACTGGAAAACTGGACTTGGCAATTCTCACCCTTCGTGGATGACTTGCTGGTTTCACACACAGTGGGGTTTTTCTTTACTGGTTGGTGTTGAGGTGAAGTGGGGGTGTGTAAAGGAACAGGCTGGTGCAGAGCCCTGGAACCGGGCTGGGTTTGTGCCTTTCCCTGTTCTCTCTTCTGTTCAGGTCGTTGGGTCTTTGCCTCAGCAGAGAACTGGGGGGGTGGCGTGACAGCCCAGTGGGTTACAGGGACTTGTGCCGCTCTGGGGGCACTTGCACAGTTGTGCTGCACCTGATCTGAAGCTGATTTTTAATCGCTCTTCCTTTTTAATTACTTTTTTTAAAATTTTGATTAACCTTTTTAATCACTCTTCCACACTTACGGACCCTGGTGTTTGCTGTTGGCAGGACTGGAATCGTCTGACCTGTCTTCAAAGATAGTTTCTGCAGAGAGTCTCTCCTGCCTCTCAGCTCTGGTAGATGAAGAGGAGGAGGATGAAGAACTTCCTAGTATTTTATCACGTCAAGGTGAGAGCCCAGTGTACCTACATGAAACTTCTTCACCCAGGAGGGGTGTGCTCTGTTAGGGGACTTGTGCTTCTAGTTTGCTGACAAGTCTTCGTAACGAAACCTGACTGTTCCAGACAGTGAATCCAGCTTTGGTTAAGCTTGGAATAAAATCTGCTACTTGAATTCCCCAGAAAGGCTTTTTGGAAACAGAATTAAATGCAAATCGTTGTGAAATTGGGCAAGGGCCTAGGAGTGAAATATCCAAGTTCCTGTTTTCAGAGCTCCTGGTGCTGCGTTTTCCAGGGGGGATGTGCTGTCACCCGAGTTGGAAACTGTAAAAGCCTTGACATGAAACTCCTGAGAGGATGCTGAAAAGAGAGGGTGAGCAACTGTCTTGTCTCATTGTTTTCAGAGGAAAATTTCTTTGTTTTTTGTCCTAGAACCACAGCCAATTGAAGAAGGGATTTTGGTCTGGTGCAAATTGCGAAGATATCCTTACTGGCCAGCAGTGGTAAGAACAGCTCGCTGCCTTCTGGAAGTGAAGTTGCAAAGGGTCTGCCGAGTTCTTGAGTGTCTTCTGCCCTTCTTGACTTGTGTGGGGCTGGAAATGTTGAATATCTTCCAGTGGAAGTGTTCCAAAGATAATAGCAGGAGACTTCCATGTGACAAAAGCGTGTAGAAAGTAAAGGTGGTTGATGGACGTGTATTTTTGTCGCAGAGCAGGGGGTTGCTGCTGAGCCTTTGTACCTGGTTGTGAGTTAAGGTGCTTGTGCCCAACCAACAAAAAAACCCAGGGTGGGTCCTTGTGTGCCAACAGAAACGCCCCTTTGGGGTAACTTGCTCTTCTTGCCACTTTAAACTTAATTTTTCGTGTTTGTGTAACTTCCTTTACTGCATAATGTCAACGGAAAACATGAAGGTTTTGGGATTTTGGGATGCTAAGGAGACTTTACCCTTTCCACAGGTAAAAAGGGTGAAGCGGAAACACAGAAAGGCGAACGTGCTGTTCATAGAAGGGGATACAAACGACATGAGAAAAGGGTAAATGTTGTGGATTCTGATCATGACGTGAGCTTTGGGGTTTTTAGACAGTGTCCTCCCTTCCTGGTGCGGGGCAATGACAGCGTCAGCCAAAGCTCAGGCTGATCTCGGAGGGTGGGATGGAGTGAGGTGGGGGTTTGCAGGTGTGGGCTGTGTTTCAGCGTGAGACGGCCGGTGCTGTTCGTGCAAACAGCTGACGCTCGTGTGAGGAGTTAAAAAAGGGCTGGGGAGCCAGGTACTGGTTTTAAATGTGTTGTGCCTGAACTTTCTGGAAACACAGGACTGCCTTTAGTTTTGTTTTAAAACCAGGTACTTCTTGTTTGTTAGAAGGTTCCATAGTTGTAGCTTACTGTGAAAACCAAAAGCAGAAAAACCTGCGCTCCTGAATTTCTTACGAAATCTGATTTTCGGGGAGGTGCAGAACTGCAGTAAATAGAGGTGCAGCTTAACTGCCTGTTTTCCCTAACTGTGTTTTTGTTTCATCAAGTTTTTCAGTGTCTCTTAGGAATCTGAAGCACTTTGATTGTGAAGAAAAGCAAGACCTCATCGTAAGTACTCCCAGTAACATGTAACCGCAAGTGTGTCCCTGTGTTGGGAGGAATGGGGTTGTGTACAGGATGCGTGACTGCCCTGGGTTTGTTCACCACCTCTGTTCTCTCTCGCTCGATTCAACAAAGTCATCAAGAAGAGCTTAATTATTAGTCTCCACTAATGTCAGGAGAGTGCAGAAAGCTGCAAGTAAACTGCGATTCGTTATCGTTAGCAGTTTCTGGTTCCTGGTTCATGTCCTGGACCTGGAAGCTTCAACGGGCCACTCTTGCTAGGGCTGTAAATGGTTCTTGTTTTGTAGGAAAGAGCCAAAGAAGATTATCGCCAAGAAATCGAGTGGTGCATTCGACTGATTTCTGACTACCGAATTCGAGTGGGTAAGCAGCTGAGTCGGATGATGTCATCCGTTCTGATACAAATCAGAAAAAAAGATAACACCACAACTATCAGCTTTTGTTTCACAGGCTTACATGAACTGATAAATAACCCTCTTCTGGGTTTTTTAGGTTGTCATTCTTTTACGGGATCCTTCCTGGAATATTTTGCTGCTGATATCAGTAAGTGAATTCATTATCTTTTGTATTTTTATCTTAGTAGGTAAGTTTAGACCCAGTGAGGGGGTACCAGTAAAATTACTACACACCATTACTGCGCTCTAAGGTTTTTTTCAGTCCCAAAACAAAGTTAAATAAATATCGGTTGTTAAAGCCAATCAGGTAATGGGTTACTTCGCATTGTAGAGACTTCATTTCAAAACTTCTGTCGGAGTTTCAACTCCTTAATATTTTTTTTAAGGCAAAATTAAGATTGTGGTGTTGGTGGGTTTTACCCTTTTTGGTAGGGGAGGAAGAAAAACTTCTCTCGTATCAAGAAAATCCCTTGTTTTCTATCTACGTATGTGAGATATAGGCCAGAAAGCCCCTCGGTTTGTGTGTTGAAGTGTGAATGATTGTGGCTGTTCTTTCAGGCTACCCAGTTAGGAAGGAAGGTTATAAAGGTTTAGGCCAAATGTCCTTCCCCAAAACAGCAGAGGAAGATGCTGAAGAGTCTTCATCAGAAACTTCACCTCAGAAGCCTTCCAAGAAACTTCTTCCTGACAGAACAAGAGCCGCTCGAGATAAAGCGAATAAAAAGCTCGTGGAGTTCATAGTGAAGACTAAGGGGGCTGAGGAGCATCTCTTGGCTATTCTGAAAAGCAGAAAACAATCCCGGTGGCTGAAGGAATTCCTGAATTCCAGCCAGTACGTGACCTGCGTGGAAACGTATTTAGAGGATGAGGAACAACTCGACCTTGTGGTGAACTACTTGAAGGAAGTGTACCACGAAATAGACACCAAGAACCTGCACCAGATAAACGGAGATGGGATAAGATTCATCTCCGACGTGCTCCTGCCTGAAGTAAGTGGCCACGAAAGGCTGAGAAAAGCGAACGCTGGAGCCCGCAACGCCGGTGTGCCCTGGTGGAAACGTGGTGGCTTGTGGCGCGTTCGTGTACGGGGCTGGCGGGGTTCTGGGGGGGGGAGGTGGACCAATGTCACTCCAAACCTGGTTTTGGAGTCGTTGGGACAGAAGGAAGAAGCCTCGGGTAGCAGGATGTGTGTAAAGGCAGAGTGATTGCTATTGCGGTTACTCCTGAGAATTCTCAGCGCTTCGGTTGGTTTTTTCAGTTTGGGAAGTTATCTCTGGGTTTTCCTGGGTTTTGTGAGAGTTTGGGGAGGGGGTTGTTTGGTTTTACAGTTGCAGTTTTAGATACTGTTGTTCTTGGCAGCTTTCCTGGGAGAACACTAGTAACTTCTGCAGAAACAAAATTATTGTGAAGAATAACTTAATCCGGTTCTAAAAATACTCTCCTGGGAACAATAAGGGACAAGTTTATATTATTTGTTTAAGAGCTTCAGGTACACAACAAGCAGTTCCATCCAAGTTTCCCAAGTGATTGAGGAACCTTATTCTAAAAATGTGCTCATCTGCTGAGACAGTTTCAAGTCACTGGTGGTAATTCAGCTTTTGTTTCATGAGTATAAACGAACTAAATACTTTTATAGGCCATCATTTATGCCATTTCTGCTGTGGATGACATAGATTACAAGAAGGCAGAAGAGAAATACATAAAAGGACCATCTGTGAGCAAAAGGTAGCTTTTTATTTTTAGTATTCTCTGAATTTTTCTTACTGGTTTACTGTTTACATGGGAAAATGGGAGTATAAGGGCAGGAAAGTTTGGTTGCCCTTCTGTAAGGCAAGCTTTCTCATTGAGGAACAAAATGGTTAAACATGGGAGATATTCTTGCAAACTGTTTGATATGTTAAGATTATTTTTACTACAGATCTTTAATGTCTTTCTTAAAAAAAAAAAGAGAAATCTTTGATGAAGAAATTCTAGAAAGAAAAAAGTGTAAGACCCGACTGGCATCTGCAGACAGTGTCTAATCAGTGGTACAAACTTTCCCGAGTTATCCTGGCACTGAGTGTATATAAGAAAGTGGTTATTTGTACAAAATGTGTAATTCCTGCTTTTAAAATCCGTGTGTACATCGTCAGAAGGTGTAGCCGTCGGATACAGTGCTGTCTTGAGTCCTCACCCTCGATTCCACATCCTGGAGCTGCACACCGCTTCCCTTCGTCTTGCCATGCCAAACTGCTGCCAAAGACGGTGCCAACCGTGTAGGAACGCTGCGGGCGCACGGCCAACACGGAACCTGCGAAAACTGCGGGTGCTTTGCAGAGCTCCTTCGTGTAACGCCGAGTTGGTGTGAATTATTTTGGCCGAGCGTCGCTCGAAGGAAGAGCTGCTGTCCTCAGCAGAACACGGGCGGGTAAATGACGTAGGCACGTGCTGCCTGATGACCTCACTGCTGCTGAATACACACAGACTTCCCTTCTGAAAACGCTTCCAGCAAGTTGACCGTTCCTGCTTTGCATGTCACAGAGTGTGGGAAATAAAAACCGGTTCCCAGTAACGCGATGGGAATAACAAAGTCGTAGTTTTTGTCAGGACAACTGTAAAATTCGGGGGAGGAGGAATCCGTGCTTAAAAACAAAAAACCATTCACCTTTACGTTTAAAAGCAAAACCCTTTTGAGTGCTGTTTTAATGTTTGCTTGGGTGGGTGGTTTTGGTTTGGTTGTTTTGTTTTTTTTTTTTTAGACCATGGTTTTAGGAACACTTTTAATCATCTTTTTCTCTCTGAGTGCTGTTTTAATGTTTGCTTGGGCGGGTGGTTTTGGTTTGGTTGGTTTTTTTTTTTAGACCATGATTTTAGGAACACTTTTAATCATCTTTTTCTCTCTGATTTAAATGTCAAATTTAGCCATGTGTAATTCCCTCCTCAGCTTTTGCTAAAGGTGTGGCGTACTGCAAATTGCCTCTGGCAGACGTGCAGTGTCAGTAACTACTGATAAAAGCCCAATGATCAGAATTTTTCTCTATTATAATGATAAACGTGATCTATTTGCTTGCCCAGTGGAAACCAAGATGATGTGAAATTAAGGAGGAATTTTGAATGTACATTGGGATACAGAGGTGTATTCTGGCTACAATAATGATCTGAATATAATTTAATTACTCTGTACTCTATGATGAGTTTCAATATGCCTTTGGAATCCTTCTTCATGTTGCTGAAGGGATGTTCACACGTACCCAGATCGTAGGAATATAACCAGTATCGAACTGGGCTGTTCTGTGTCTGTCATTAAAACGGGCGAGAAGGGCTGATGTTTGCTGTGATCGTGTAAGAATCTGACGACAAAGCGATGGAGTTTGCTCCTGAGATGAGTGGCACTTACGAAGGGAAATGTCACTTGGGAGTGCAGAAGTTTCCAGCCCGTGGACCGGGGCGCTGCTGTGGACGCTGTGTGTGGCGATGCAGAGATTGGCTTGTCCTCGGGCTCCCCCTCCTTTTAAAATGTAATCAGGTGTTCACTCCTCAATTAAAATTCCTGAAGTGCTGTTAAGATCCTTCTTCAAACCACTGCACAGAAGCAGAGCTCCCCATTCACCCTTTCCTGCCTTTTGCCTGATGACTTAGTTTGATTCGATGTGGCCAAGTCCTCATTTTAAGAATCAAACTGCTGCCTTCGTTGTGTCGAAGCGCTCCGCGATGTTTACATCTTTAAGATCCGCTTTCAACTTGTGAACCAGGTGTTGGAGGTTACTTGCAGCACTTCTCCTACCTTGAGACTAAATTCAGTCTTGCGAGGGATGGAATTATGTGGTCTTAAATCAATCAAAGTTTTAAATGAATCATCAAAGGGTTGTCATTGCTTCTGATTGACTATGCTCATTCATTTCACTGATTTTTTTTTTTAAGCTATGGTGCACGCAGACAGATGCTTTTCCACCCGAGTTTTACATCAAGTGAAGGTTATTTTTATATACCAGATAAAACCGTTGTATGATGTTTCAGTTGCACAATTTTGAGTTATTAAACATGAGTACAAGAAAGCAAACTCACTGTTTTCCGTTCTGGTGCTTTATTTAAAACGAGCACTGCGCGTGTTTCCAGGGCATTAAAACGCCTCGGAGCGCGATGCGGGAACCCCCCAGGGGCCGGTCTCGGGGTGGGGGGG